GGGGGGGGTAGAAGAAGTAGTTATTCTGCCCTCTAGTGTCAAATCACTTTAAGCGCAGCTGTAAACGTCATCAACCATGCGCCGGAGCTCGCGTTCGCGCATGCGCAGCCGTCGCAGCTGGCAGATTTCAAACTGAGCGGCGGGTAGCTGAGGCAGAGACCGAGAGAGACGAACACAACAGAGCCTCAGTGTCCAGACTTCACGCAGAGCTGGGAGGAAAATGACGAGCACGCTGAAAGGCATCACCCTGAAGGGCAGCGCGGAGCTGGTGGCCGAGTTCTTCTGTGAGTACTCACGGGTTCCCCCCCCCCTCCCCCCGGTTCGGTTGAAGCGACAGTTCGCGGCGAAGCCGTGGACACGCAGCCAGTCCGAGCTAATGCTACATGTAGCCTCAGGCGGAGCTCCGACTCACCACCGAGGAGGAAACAGAACCCTGGTGGAACGAGCTGAATCTTCTGCTTCTCTTGATTCTCATCCGCTCTTTATGTTTCTACTCTTCATTTAACTTCTCTCTTTGTTTCGGCTCACAGCCAGCCACGGTCAGTTCGGGCTCGTTCGCATTTTAAACTGGCCGTGGTGTGCACCGCCCGCCGGGGAGCTCCCTGGTTAAGAATTAAACACACAGGAGAAAGAGTTTGAGTCCGGATCGGATCATGTTTGGAGCCGTGCTGAGTGTTATCCATCTAAATGAACGATTCGTTGTCTCGTACAGAAAAGCTCGAATGCTTTATGTGACATTTCATTCAACAAAGTAGTCTGTAAGATAAGAGCAATGAGAAAACCCGCTTAGAAATGTCTTTAACAGAGAGATGTAGAAGAGGAGGAGGTTACTTACCACCGGGGACATGTGGTGTCAAATCTACTTCAATGCAATGTACCTGAAGGATCCTTAAAGGTTCAGTGTGTAGAATTTAGTGACATCTAGTGGTGAAGTTGCATGTTGCAGCTGAATAGCCCTCACCTCACCCTCCCCTTTGTAACATGAAGGAGAACCTGTGGTAGCTTCAGTTGTCATTAGTTTGTCCAGTCTGAGCTACTGTAAAGAAAACATGGTGGCCCTCATAGAGTGGACCCGCTCCTGATGTTAATATAAAGTATTTAAGAATAAAAGGCCCATTTTAGGGTAAAGAAAACATCAACTCACAATTTAGATGAAACACACCAGTGAAAACATCACTGTGATTATTTTATATTCAATTTCTGCCAGTAGATCCCAAATCTAACACACTGAGCCTTTAAAAGTCAACAATATGATCTTCAAATCATGTCTGCAATGGAAGCAGGTGAAGGGAAGCTGACGGGAAATTACATTTAAGTCATTTTAACAAAAAACATCCACAGAAATAACACTTGCTCTCACGTTGCATTTTGAGCAACTCTGGACTGACAGAGCTGGACGTCCCCACAGTTTGTGGAATAAAGGACATATTTCATCTGTTTTCATAAAAAAATAGAGGGGTTAAAAATATTGTGCAGATGGGAACAGTTTAAATGAGGAGGCGAGGGGATATTTTATATCTACCACAATGATCCTTGCCCTATTTGTCTCTGTATATGTTTTTATAATGTAAATCCTCCTTTGATTCATTCTTTCCACCGCAGCATTCGGCATCAACAGCATCCTGTACCAGCGGGGCATCTATCCTCCCGAGACGTTCACCAGAGTCACCCATTACGACATGAGCCTTCAGCTCACCACTGACCACAAGCTGAAGGACTACCTGACCAACGTGGTGTCTCAGCTCAAAGGTCACCTCAGATCCTGAGCTTTCTTTTGGCTTCATTTTTAAAACCTCCATTATTATTAGTCCTTGTTTTTATTTTGAAGGAGGACAGTTCTATTAGATCCCATTGAGACTGCTCAGTGACTGTGTGCTCTCTCTGTGTTGCAGACTGGCTGTTTGAGTGCACGGTGCAGAAGCTGGTGTTGGTGATCACGTGCCTGGAAACCAACGAGGTGCTGGAGAGATGGCAGTTTGACATCGAGTGTGACAAGTCCGCCAAGGAGAGCAGGTCAGCTCCTCTACGGCTCACTCGCCCCACAACAATGTCAGGCGCTGTCGTTTAACTAACATTGTCCTCTAGAAGGATGGAACAGAATTTGAGTCTCCTTTTTAATTGAATATGATAAATAATGAATTATATAAATTAATATGGATTTGTAACATTTAAAAGCAGAATTTCTCTTTATATTTGTCCGGTAGTGACAGTTTTATCTGCTACCAGCAGGTGGTAGTCATGACTTTGACTTTTGAGTCTTATATTATTGGATATTTTATGTCAATGAACATAGCTAAAGCTGTTTTTTTGAAATAGATTCTTTGTACCATTCAATCTGTGTGCTCACCGGCTAACGCTTCACCCAAGTGACGCAGCGGATCTCTTCAGATGATGTGATTTAACTGAGCTCCCCTGTGTTTCCCAGTGCTCCCAGAGAGAAGTCCATTAAGACCATTCAGGACGAGATCCGCTCCGTCATTAGGCAGGTAACTGCCACTGTAACTTTCTTGCCGCTACTGGAGACGCCATGTGAGTAACCCTATGGTTTTCTACCTACAAATGTTTTCTCTAGTTATAGATCATGGACATGGAAATATCTATCCCACTAATCCTTTTCACCCTCTGGCCCTCGTCTCCTCTCCCAGGTGCGTTTGACCTCCTGGTCTACACGGACAAAGACCTGGTGGTGCCTGACATGTGGGAGGAGTCTGGGCCTCACATAATCAACCAATCAGAGGAGGTGCGTTTACGTTCCTTTACCACCTCCATCCACAAGGTGAACAGCATGGTGGCGTACAAGAGGAGCGACTCCCTTTAAACATCCGCCATGGAGCAGTGTGAAGCACCAACCACTGGCCTTTATAGAATACAGTAGTGTTATTTTTGGTTTTTTTACATTGCCCTGTCCTACCTCACTGTCTGCGTCTCTTACTCTGTTCACTGTCGTCTCCCGCTTCCTCTCAGAGCTTCTCCTTGTCTCATGTGATAAGAACGTGCAGATGAGCTTCTCACTCTATTCTGATGTAAATATTGCCATAAGAAGAGGTGTGTCTGATTTCTTTGTGTTGTCTCCTCTTACTCTCAACTTGTCAAGCTCTATTTTAGAAGCTAGTGGTTTGTATGTACAACTTTTATAAAATGTAATAAAACATCCATATAATTTAGCATCCATGTTCTTTCATGGTATTATTGCTTTGGACCACGAGGTGGCAGCGCAACACAAACTGAGTCTGGAGTTGGTTGTGTCTTTGTAGTGTTTGTGTTACACAACAATGCACAGAACATAGAGAATAAGCATTATTCTTTAATGGGACAAACCATTTACTTGGCTCACAGTGTTCAGTGGTGTCGACAGTTGCAGATGTGGAACACCTCCTTCATCACAGTACCATATCAGCATATTAGATTCTCTCACCTGCACTAGACAACTCGAGTCTTTGTCCTTTATTTAAAAATAAAAATAAAAACCTTCCTCTGGTGTAATGCCCTCTCGTGTACATGCAACAAAACAGGGAGGGAAGCAAACTCCTCTGAAACAACCCAGAGACTGAAGCAGTGAGGAAATCTTCCCAAACAAGCTCAGAGGTCAGGTGACAGGCACATGTACCGCACTCCTGGAGACCAAGTACAAAACAACCACAAGTCTACAAAAGTGCTTCAGTGAAGACCAGGCTTTAGGGTCTGTTTGTTTCTGTTAATAAAACTGCACATGGGCGGCACCTGTTGTGCGAGCGTAAAGCGATCTGAATGATGACAAACGTCTCCATTATCATAAACCCTCATTTCCTTTTCATGAACAGATGGGGGGGGGGGGGAAATCAGGATCTACATTTCAAAGCAGGAGGTGGAATCCTGTGTTTGAGTGGTTAAAGCTCTGCCTCACGCAGCTGCTGACACACTGTTATCCACTGATACGTATCCAGCAGAAGCTGTTAGCTGCTTATCACTGAGCAGAATCACGGGGGGGGGGCATTTTTGATGTGGGTTGTTTGGCAAATTAGCTCCCACGTGGACAGAACACTGCTACTTGAACTATTCTCATTCTCTGTGTGGCAGTGGTTCCCAACCTTCATCTGCAGCCCCCTTGAAATGAAGCAATGCCTGTTTCTCGGTGGAAAACTATGAAGTACACAAAGTTCAATTGTATTTATAATGATTAATATTTAATTATGTGATACAGGTCACTGATAATTACCTGCTTCTCATGGGTGACACCGATAACTGAAGAACTTTGGATTGATGGAATAACCGATTTTGTCGTAGACTGCTTTAGTCTTTCCAATGTCTCTAGTAAACCTCTTTCAAATGCCTGTTCAATGGACAAATCCATGGTCTGTTTCTTCTTTTTTGGCTCAATGCTACCTGCTGCGGCTGCTTCCTATCCCTTCGTTACAGCTGTGCTGTGATGATGACCTTTCGGGTGACTTATAAAGATTTGTTCTGTTAAAACTTGCAATGTTTTTTCCCCTCGCTTGAAAAATCCAGGACAGTATGGTGCAGTGCTGCTACCCACTGGCATAGAAACATCATTCGAACTATGAATAAAAGGGTTGGAATAATGATAAACATGTTTTCCCCTCTATCAGACCAGCCCAGTTAACATAGTTCATCCCTAAATTATTTCATTATTACTAAGTTAAATATTTGGGCAAAGCTCTTTGGCCCTTGAGCTTTGTTTGTTATGATGAAAATGGGTTTGCTGGCGTTTTTATTTGTAGGGGTGATTCTACAAGTATGGGTGAATTTGAAGAAAATATTCTGCTTTAGACAACAATTGTTTTTCTATTCCATCCATCTTTGCCTTCGCATTAATCTCGGGAACCCCTGAGGGGGTGGGGTGGTGGTGGGAGGGTCCTGATCATTAGGTTGGGAACCACTGCACCATGAGCTGAAACCTCATCTCCGTGCACATGACCGAGTGTGATCTTTAGCCTGTTAATATACAATGTAGCCCCGATACTTTCAGAAATATTGGATGTGCGAGAACGTCCTATCAAATTCAATTCTACAATTTCAATCTGCAGCGATAGAAACCTCATGAGCCAGTCTGTTTAACATTCAGTGAATCTCTCGCACACAAATTTAAGATTCGTAATGTAATAACGTCTTTTATGTCACCGTATATTTCATGAACTCTGCAAACAGGAATTATGAAACCCCTGCGCTGTTTGTTGGTTTTCAAAAAGGTTCACTCAATGTTCCCCCGCCGGCTCAAATGCAAGTGTGCACGTCAGCAAAGGACTAAAGTACAACACAGTCTGTCCTCTATCCAAACAATGCTCCATCGTTCAATTAAAAAAACATCCTCTTATCAGGGGGAGGAATTAAAGGGATCAGACAGATGTGGACGAATAGAATATATAATTTTAAATTGTGAATTGGTCCTATTTTATCACAACAAGGCAGTGGAAGAATCTAGACCAATTTCCATTTGAAATTGTGGGCCTAGTCTTTGGCTATTTTACATTTAAAAAAAAAAAAAGACACAATACAGTACAGTACATTTCCTCATCTGAAAGAGTTGTCCCTAAGAAAGATCCTTCAAAAAAGCAGAGATGGGATTTTTAAGTATGAAAACTACATTTCGTATATAAAGAATCGTGTGCTCTCGACAAAAGGATGACCTTACAATATAGAAACTCTAATAAATATATAAAACAAAAAATAAATATGCAATAGTTAAGACAATGAGTGGAAAAAAAAATGATACAAAAGACTCAAACCCTTGTAGTGTGTCTGCTGTGATTAAAGACATATTGAACAAGCATATCAGAATATTGTGACACTCTGTAAAGTATATAGTAAATATCTGTGGCCCACTGGAACGGCGCTGATCCCTGAGGATCTATGTTTTACCATTCAGTGCGCCGCTAAAGTCCACTACCTGTGCGAGATAGCGTATGTGAGACTTCAAGATGAAAGCCACTCTGTGCAAAAATAAAAATGGCTATTGTAATAAATATAGCTTAGTGCTGACTGTTATTGTCTCTGGTGAGTGACGGCTATACATGAATCGTGACAGGAAGAGCGGTCTCACAAAGCTTGATGAAATGAAGCACGTCGTTCTCTCTCACGCACTCACTGTCATGAGATTCGAACGGCTGCATTAAGCTTGATGAAGAATTTGTTAAAGGTATTAAAGTGAGGGATCTGACAGTCTCGGTCTGGTTTTCATAGGTCTGACCATTTCTTATGTGTACTCTGTAAAGTCACTGAGATCTGGGAAGACAACAATGTCTGTCTGTCAGTGAGATGAACTGCTTTTGAATTTGTTTTGGCGTTCGCGGCTCCCAGAGGATGAATTGTAGCATTTCGGGACGCAACACAACAATTGATGTCTAAAAGCTCATAAAAATTTGGGAATATGACCAAAATGTTCCCACGCAGCTGATTCGAATGTGCCTGTGGGGTCTGCAATCTATTTAGATGTGTTACTATGATAAAAAAAAAATGTAATTAGTAAGTTATTGATTATAATCATTATAGTGTGTTCAGACAAAATGAGAAGCAAGTCTTTCCTGCAGTGCAATTACGATGCAAAGATAGAACAGCTGTGAATTTGTGCTGGCCAATGTGAAGAGAAGCAAATTCATGTGTTCACGAGATAAAATCTGTTTTGCATGATGATGTTGTGGAAATGGAGGACAAACTCATTGTTGCCGTGTGCACACCTTGGAGTTGTGCGATTCCACTTCTATACTGACAGAACAAAAAAGAAGAGGTCTCAGAGGAGTCCGAAACAGCAAGTTCAAAAAGTATGTTCTATATTTCTTAATGAACCAAGTTAGCACCAGGGCTCGCTGCCTTCTTAGAATGCTGTATTCCCAGATCTGAGTGATGAACTGTGTAAAACCACGTCACTGCAAAATGGAAGGATGGAAATATGAAGTATTTCCTATGAAAGTAACAAAGTAGACAGAAAACTAGAAAGGGTTCTAGAAACTTTCAAAAATAACTTGGGACCTGAAGCAGCTCCAAGATTTCAATAGTTGAATGCAGGAGTATCTGCACTTTCATAATCAAAATCTATGCTTTCCTTTCTCCACGACATAATCTTTTCCTGGTAAGGTCGTTTTCCATTCACAAAGGGTTATTTGATCTGTCATGCATATGTATGTATGTCATGCTTATTTCACGAAACTTTGTGAGACCAGTTGAACAGGGAGAGCCCTGGAAATTTGTGTTCGGTAGAAAAGCAAATCTGGCTTCGGGATCACACCAAGCCGTTGACCAGATCCTTCTCGCACTCCTCAGCCAGGCGCTTCCAATGCTGCCGGTTTTTCTGACATCCTTCCAACAACGGGGAGCAATGCTCGGACATGCCCGCCAAAGTCTGTGGCAGTGACAAATACAATTCATTTAAAATGGATTAATGAGGATTGTTTTTAAATATAATACAAATTCAATTCAACAGTTTCTTTCTAGCTAGTGGAAAATAAAAGGAGGAATGTCCACCTTTTCTTTTGGCCTTTTCCAACTATTCATTAGGCACAGTGGTTTCTAACGACAGAAAATAATTTGAATTACCTCATATAATTGAGTGCAAATGGCATCAATGAAGGACACCTGCATGCTGGGTATCTTATCTCTTTTCTCACGATTCATCAGGTCCTAAAGTGAAAGGGTGAATAAATACAGAAAAAGGTAAAGACACAAGGACTCAAAACAGATCCCTGAGGCACACCACAGCATATGTAGTACTTTCGTGCCATATCACACAAAATACAGTATCTCCTAGAGTGACAATACTTACAATCGGTTCGATGTTTAGCTCCCGCCTCTCCTTATCCCCCTGTTCAAAGAATTCAGTGGCCACCAGCTCTGCGATCTGCATTACAGCGAAGAGAAAGACGAGTTATATAAAGAATCTTTAACCTAAAACAGACGTGTTCATCTGAAAACTCTAAAACTTAACTTACAGGTGGGGAAATGTAACATGACAAAAGGCAAAGGCATGAATAAACATGTAGAAAAAAAAATCCCTTTTACTTCCAATCACATTTTAGTGCAAGAAATAACTGGCAAGGATGATTTTCTTTTTACATCTTTATGTGCGACCAAGGGCTGAAGCCAACTACTGACGTTAAACTATTGAGGTTAAACACAAAGTCTATCAAGGCTTTACTTTTTCAGTGTCTGTCATCGTCTGTATCGAATCCTCTGTTTGTTTTGGATGCAAGGTCCACCTCAGGTTGGTGCCTGACATTTTAGCTATGCAAATCAAAGCGCTGCTCTGTTGTTGTACTTAACCTCGGAAACTCTGGCATATTTGTGGCAGTTTGAATTTCAGTGGATGTATTTTAATGAACTCCTTACAAGGCTGAGCTCGGGAGAAAAGTTGGGACATCATGCCACGGAGACAACAAAATACTTTGTGTCTGGAAACGACTAACAATGTGCTTTGTATTTTAAAGACAGGTACGACTCATGACAGGTCGAATGAACAGGCAAAAACAACAGGATGTAGGAAATAGCTAGAAAGGAGGAATGTAATTGAAGGTGCAAGTCAGTATATTGAGCGTAAAGAACAAAGAGAAAACAGATTTAGAAAGTGGGAGAGGTCTGGCAGTGATAGCCACACTAAGTTAATGCTCTCCGTGTGTTTGCAGAGAGGTAAATGAGGTCTGACTGCAGCCTCGGGCTCCAATCAGTATCACTTTGTGCGTACGTGTGTGTTGAAGCAATGTGCAGCTCATTGATTGAGACTGCAATCAAGGCTCAGCACTAAGGATGTGCAGGGAGGGGGGGGGGGTTGCGACTCAGCCAGAGAGAGAGCTTATTATAGCTGACTAAACCCATCATGAGGCGAGGCTAAGTAACTTTGTCTTTATTTACTTAACCTCATGTAATTCAAAAATACCAACGTTTTTCTCTGCACGTAACGGAGCGAGTTACCTCCGTGTCAAAATAACTTGGCCGGATCAGACTTCCAACAACAGCAACACAGACCAACTGGATTCCTGAAAGTATTTCTTTTGACACACACTTGCCCCATATGTTCATGATCAGTAAGACCAAGAACTGTTTGGCTCATTGGTCATCGAAAGGAATCTGAATCAAGAGTCGAGACAAGAATCTTGAGAGAGTAGTCCAGTACTCCAATTCTGTTCTCGTACATTTCTCTTAAGATGCAGTAATAATTACATCTTTGCATTAGTAATGTGGCTTGTTGCAAGATTTACTTTGGTGGGAAAAAAAGTTAGATTCACTAACAAATAGTCATGATGGAAAAAACCTTTAATGAGACTATAGGTTTTGGTGTGTCATCCATTTTAAAAGAAGAGGACAGAATCAATACAAAAGAAATCAAAGACAATTACTGTGTCACATGAAAGTGATTATAATTTGATGATTATAGTTTGAATTTCAGAATCTGATGACTAACTGCTTCAGGAACAAATGGGAAAAGTGGGACAAAGCAATTAAGAAGAAAAAAAAATTGTCAACTTCAAATGTATATGTTAGTACTTCTATGCATAACACATTGCTTATGTAATTTAGTTATTCATCAACTATCCTAATTAAAAACAAATCCATGCCACAGAAACAATGTTCTGTTTATGCAGCAGCTGATGCCTCCTCATTCTAATTCCTGAGAAGCAGACAAAGCTCCAGAAAGGATTAATTCATTCATACAGCTAAGAAAAGTACCTTGCTGCAACCTTTCCTTGAATTGTGGCCAATGAGATGCGCAATTTGTTAAACCCTACAAGGAACTTTTCATTTTTGTTGATTTTGGTGCCTCTGTGGACAAAAGAATTGTTTCCACTGTCTCCTGTCCTACAAACCACAATCTGGCCAGCATGTGCATTTGTTCTGGAAGGCGTGGAAACATGACAACGTTAAATCTTTGTTTGGTACAGTTCGTACACTAACCCCGTCGTAAATAGCTCCGTCTGACTGGGCCGGCAGTCCGATCCGACCACAGACTTTGAAAATACTTTTTTAGAAAAAGCCAGTTTTGTACCCGATTGTCTCCTTTTCTTATTGTAGGTCACAAAGAGGTAGCAATATTAAAACGAGACCTTGTCAAAACCAGTTAAAAAAAACCTTATAGTTAGTTAAATGAGATCCAGATGGGATTCTAGTGAGGCCCCATTTTCATGTGTGTGCATGTTTACAGCTGTGAATGTTTGTAGTGGTGTCATCTGAGGACAGCTTTCATTAACGAGCGCTCACTTGCCAATGAACACGAAACCGCACATACACACACTTATAGCTGAAGCACTCTCCACTGTGCCCGTGGCTCATAACGAGATGCAGACTAACGAGGGTCACCAGGGAGATGAAAGGACGGGGGACACAGCGCCATGATTGGGTGAGGAGAACGATGAGTGTGTGTGAGCAAGCGGAGAGTTATGTAGTAAACTTGAATGGTACTCTGTAGAGTCCATATCTCCGACAAGGCCCAACAGATGAAACCACATTCAATAGATACGGATTTGTGTTTAGATTTGCACCAAATTGCACACACCCAGCTATTTTTCATAAAGATCCAAAAACTATTTTCTGAGAAATCAAGGAAACTGTTGAAAATGATCTCAGAATATTAAAGTCGAAAGGTTAAAAACATGATTCCTTGTGAATGTTATCCCCCTGTAAGTCAACTGTTACATTGCTCTGTTCACCTGAACATAATGGACTGTAGTCTAAACAACCACTCAAAGCCCTTTACACTACAGGTCACGTCAACACATTCACACAGCGATGGTACATCAGGGATACTTAAGGTTCAGTATCTTGCCCGAGGACACTTGAGAGAAATGAATGTGGCAGGTAGGCAAGTGAGTTGTTGCAGAACCTTTGTAGGATAATATGATAGATGATAGTAGAAATGAAACTAAAGGTGAAGATGTGTCAGATCAACTCTGTTTTCAGAGTGTTTTGCTGGTTTAGACAGCATATGTATGTGTTTGTATGTGCTTTTTGGTACAGTTAGTTGTAATTTCATACGTAGTTCGTTTAGTCTAAAATGCCCTCAATAGTTTTTGTCTTTATAATTTCATATAATTCTTTAATAAGTTAAACATCGCACATTTAACATGCAACATTTATTTTTTATGAATTTATGATGTACGAATAAATTATCAAGTTGACGACGTCAAAACTCATCATTGGGCAGTAAAACTAAAAGGCCAATAGTTGTGTTCTGCCCATGATCTTCAGGTGACACATCATCATTATTTTCTATTGTGTATGAGGATGAATTTCAGTGTATGGGTTCTGATCAAGGATAAAGAGAAGCTGGTAGAAACCGGGTGGGGAATGGCATGGATAGAAAATTGGACAAAAAGCTGCAGGGAAATAGCACGAACACACACTCTGTGAAGGAATATGATTGTCTTTACCCTCTTCTGCACAGGCCACGGCTTGGTGATGGCCGAGATGTCACATGCAGTCATCAGCATTGACCTGAAGGGGGAGACACATTGACACGTACTGATCTTCACAGACCCACACCAAGGAGAGACAGTTAACAAGGACTTTCTGGCTATATTTGGCTGTTTTTGAAGTCATTTAAGTTGAGTTTGATTTATAGTTTAAAACAAAATGAAAATGCTGATTGTTATGTCACTAATAGGCCAAAATGTGCTTGTGATGCAATCTAGCAACATCTATTGACTTTTGGAGCAGAGTTTCCCTAATTATTCAGCAACACTAGTTTCGTGTCGGAACCTTTTCTTGGAGCCAAGTGCTTCTTTTCAGCGACAGCTCCCACAGCTTATTTAACTTATCCTAAGCTATGCTAACTCTAGCATTGTGTTTAACAGATAGAAATGAGCGTGATATTGCTCTTCTCATCTCATTCTTGGTAAACAAATGAGCGAACGTCCCAAAATGTTGAACTGCTCCTATAAAATAAAAGCCTCTGCACTGTGCATATGCTGGTGTTTTGACATCCACATGATGTGATTCGGTTTTGAAGGTCTCTGGGTGCGGTCGCAAATAAGCAAATATCAAAATAGTCATACTCACCTCAGTAAATCTCTGTGATGTTCGTCCTCCCAAACAAACTGACTGTTCTTAGTGAGCTCAAAGAACTCCCCTCGCCTCCTGACAACACACAATGACACATTCTTAAAAGAACGTAAACACGGAAATTTGAAAAAGAATCAAATTGCTAACAGAATTAATTATTTAAGTGTAATTTAGAGAAGGTGAAGGATGCATTTTTGAGCAAATAAAATTTTTATTAAAGCCCACATTAAAAGTCTGAGCAAGGCAATATGCTTATAATCGCTTCAGCATTTTACTAAAAATTACCTTTAAGATTTTCTTCAAGTTATTGACAACATTGCAGTGTATGTTTTTGTAAGTTTTCCCTTTCTTACTCCAAAATACAGCCACAGGATGATCCCTGAATATATCACATTATTTAGTTTTCCAGAATAACAAAATCGATCCAAGAGACATCAATGAATTTCTGAATTTCAAAGCCCTACAATGACCAGATGAATCCGCTTTGCTTTACTTTTCTGAACTACCCCCAGTTGGAAATACTAGTCGATAACCTCCCTAACCTTCCCCTGCGCTGCCTAAATTGACTTTTCTTCTTCCACCACCCCCCTCTCCATCCCTCTCCAGTCAGATTTCCATCTGGGCTTGACGTTTGGTACCTACTTCATGTACAGAGCCAGGTCAGTGGCCAGAATAGCCCTCTCGATCATCTTCAGAGTGGCCTTGTACTCGTCCAGGGAGAGGCCGCTTAGGATCTGGTTTCCCTGGAGAGACAGAGAGAAAATACGTGAGCCCAGAAACAGCTCTGCACGTTATTTAATGATTTGCGCACATGAACATTTTACAGTGTTTGTGTAAGACATTATGGAGAGTGAGATAGCAACCCTCTGAGGAGTTAATGTCATGTGCTTGACCGCATCATGCACTGTGATAGACTACCATGCGTTGCTATGACAACGCCAGACAGAAGTTCCTCACACGCCGAAATAAGTCGAACAACTGAATCCAGTCCACATGTCTTGAGTGCTCATGTGCATGTGTGTTGACGCATCATTTCACGTCCCATCCATTTCGAGTGCTTTTCAGAGTGTGTGATTATTAGCCTTGCATGCGACAAGGTCTGCAACAAGGTGTGTGTGTGTGTGTGTCTGTGTGTTAAACGTGTCAAGCACCAGTGAGGTTAAGTGGTGCTGTGGAGTCGGGAGTGTATGCAGAGTTTGTTTTGAGGCCATAAAGATCAGAGCGGGCTGTAAGTAACTGTATTTTATTGGGCGACCAGAGTGGTAGGCTCAGGCTAGCAGCTGGAAAATGAGCAGAAGAGGCATAATAAATCTGCAGCGAGCGGGCAACAGCATTAAGGCCTGTCAGCAGCCAATATCAAGCTATTGCTCTCCTGTGGAGAGAGTGTTGACAACCTGAGGTTGAACTGGTTTGAACTGTGACCCACTTTGAAGACGGTGTTTCTGCCAGATTCGTTTTATGTGACACACACATCACTGATTACATTGTTTACCTAACGGCGTACGCTGTAAGTCCACTGTTGAACGGCTTTTTCAAGATTAACGTCTGTGAACCCCTCACACTACAGAATCTGTTCGGATCAGCTTCAAATGAGCAGAGTCCTCACGATCGTCAGGGCTGAACCGCACCTGAAATCAGGCCAACAGACCTTTAGTGTTCAGCGGAAGAAAAATGCACCATGCGCTTTTCTAGTTTATTCAAGAAATTCTATGTAATATCATAGACTAAAGTGTGTCATGTATCCCATGTGCAATTTTTTAAAACTTTTTATGGTTTATGACTTGTGCACCCAGCAACCAGGGGGGCGTTCCAGATGCTTTGGCTTCACTTTTTGTCATATATCTTCAAACACAGTCTATGGTATGAACTGACCCTTTTAGGCCCCACATACATGATGAAGTGTGTTTTTTACTGAATCCCTCCCTATGTAAAATATGCATCAGCAGCACTGTCTTATCAAAAGCAATAAGCCATGCAAAAAAAAACACAATGTTGAAAAAAGCTGATTCCAAAGAAGATAGAGAATAATAAATGAAATATTAAACTCATATGTTTTTATGAAAATGAAAAAGTAAATTAAAATGGGTAGAAATACAGTAACTAAATCAAATTAATTTTGTTATTAATTCAAATGATAGTGACATTATGACGTGTAGTTTAAGTTGCTGTGTATTGTTCTATTTTTATCATTTGAAATCTCTAAGAAGTCTGTGAGGGTTGAGCAGTTTGAATCTAGCTGTGCGTGGATCTCCACTTAGCAAAGACTGAAGTGAACACAAACCAAAAGGTTTGGTTCCACTGACAGCTGGGTTCGGTTCCTGGCAGGAAGGCCTGCAGCTTGGCCCGGCTTTGTGAGCCACACTGTTGGCAGGTGGGAAGCCAGTGAGGGATGTAATTTGGAGACTGGATGACTTGGCACTGACAGGTTCCCGATGCATAAAAGGCTTCAGTGAGGATAAACATAATACTTATTACATTACACGAAAAAGTTATTGCTTTATATGCTCAACATTTTTATTGCATTATAGGAAGGCTATTAGATTACCATTTTTTATTACTTTCCACATTACATTATAGGCAGTTATTAAATTATCAGTTTCTTCAGTGGTATTTTGGAACTGGCAATGGATTGGCTTCCGCATCAGAGAAGCCATGACAGGCCTTAAACTCAAATCTTTACCATTCGGCGAGAACATCGAATAATTGCTGTTGTATGGACGATTGCAACTCCGAGAGCTATGGTGTTATGAGCTTCGTAAAGTATGAAAAGGGAGATGGATCCTCTTGAATGCGTTTGCCGGGAGCTCAGCTGCTGCTCCCTGAATCAGCTGCAGCTGCGAAAGCGCAACTCACGTCCTGCGTTGCATAACTGTGATGAGGATCAACTCTGTGTGTGAGGAGACAGTCCGCCGGATGTTTTTTTTTATTCGTAGCTTCTGTCTTCCTGCCACTAACGCTCACATCCGAGCTCATGGTGCCAACTCTTCCTTTGCATTTAAATTTCATAGGGGGCAGCAGCACTACATGAGCATGTGCTCTGATCATATTTGTGTCTATCAGAGCGTCTTTGCGGGAAACAGCTGCCTGTGGGGGTTGGTGAGTTCATCTCATGCTGATACCGTAAATGGGCTATAAAGTCGAAACAATGCACAAGAGGAAAGCTCAGCAGAGCTGCAGAGTTGGGTCGTAATTGTCTATGGTACAGTGACGATGACACTGCACCTTTCACATTACAGAGTCAGCTGGTTCAGTGTCAAAAAACCTGTCCTGTGTGAAACAAATCTGTAGTCCCCCTCAGCTAAGCAGAGCCCTGTGGCATCTTTTAGCTCATTGCTTTGATTTGCTGAGCCACGGTTGGGCTGTTACGGCTCTCATTGACCCCGTCGTCAGTATCTGCAGGGAGCAATGCACTAATAAACCCGCTGAACTCAGACAGATGATGTTGAAGCAATCAGCAGCTGAGGAGCCAGATATATTTCTAAGGAGACCAAAGAGGAGCTAAAAGGAGAGTTGAAGTTAAGGCTGTGTATTAATGAGACTAGTGATATGATTAATATAATGATACAGGGATTACGATTCAATACATCGCGATATATTGTGATACTTTGAACAATATAATGTCATTTTTTAAATCTAATTTTAGGAAAACTGTCATCGCATTCAGAACACAGCACCATGTTTATAAAATACTTAAAGCAGTGGAGTCAAATGGCTTATGATGGATCACAACACCGCTGTCTCCAACAGTTGAAGGTTTAACTATAAGCTATATCAATATAGGGATTTGTGCATCACAATACATTTATTGCAAAAAATAAATGTACACCGCTTTACAGCAGGTTTAAGGAGTACTCATACATATAAGGTGTAGAGTAACAACAATAAAATCCACTTCTGTTCATATCACAGCCATCATTAAGCACCTCGTGAAATGTACTGCTCGTTAGACAAAGTTAGAAACCATCTAGGTGTGATTTCGTCTAATTGGAGCATTGAGAAGAATCATGAGTGGACTGAAAGGCTTCCTACACGAGTGTGAGTGCGGGAGTGGGTGCACCTACAGGGCTGTTGAGGATCATGAGGCACTGGTCGAAGTGGTGGTGCTCCATGGTGGAGTGGCAGTAGAGCTGGGCCAGTGGGTGGTCGCTCCTGGACACCACACACACACACACACACACGCAGGAAGTAAGAAACCCACAGAGATGTTAAACTTGGCTCCCACACACACGTATCCATGTACTTATGACTTATATTTGACTCAAGCTGCACCTCTGTATGTAGGAGTTGTTGACTCCTCTGTGGTCCAGGTCGTGGCTGAGAGTTGCAATCATCAGAGCCAAGACCTCCAGATCACTCAGGTTATTCTGTCAGGAGATGGGTGGAGGTGGATGAAGAGAGGGGAGGTCAACAAGACGTATAGAACAGAGGTAAAAAAAAAAAAACAAAACAAGAAGAACACATTAGCTACATCCACATGACAGCTTTTACACCACAACCGATGCTGGGCTAAGGCTCCAGCGTGGCAGACACTGAAACATTTAACCGCCCATCACAGGTCTTTAGCTTTTAATCACGTAAAGGCAACATATTCCAAAACACACATCCACATTGCTTTATTTATTTTTTCTTGTTGTTTCATGGTAGTGTCATAGACTGTATATAAAGATGAACCTCCTCCCTCTATGCAGAGATTAAGCCAAAATATCCTGGTTACAATCGCTTGCCGGGCTCAATCATCCCACAAGATGCCGAATGAATTTAATTTCATTGTACTTGTGTGTTTGAGAATATCAATTATATGCTTTGGAAATTGGTTTGTCCTTCAGAACAAGGATAGTAATCTAGATAAAGATAATAATGGAACAAATTGCCTGTCTGTCAGAACTCAATCCATTCAATGATCTGATGGCACTGACCTGTAAGCGTCCTGACTTGAGGAGGGCGAACATGGACTGGGCTGTGTTGAAGGCGTGCCTCCAGTTGTGATAGGCCACATTCTTCCTGTAGTTCTTCTTCACACTCAGAACCCACTGGCATAGACTCTGCAGAAGAGACAACATGCACAAAGATCTATTGAACCCTCGCTAGGCATTTTCATCCTCATCTCCTCCGACCCATGTCTCCCTTTCTCAGCATGTCGTGGATGTTAGTTTGAGTTAATCATGAGTTTGTGCTCGCTTAATCATGCTCAGATTTGTTTTGTAAAATGTGTCATCCAAGCACAGCGTATAGTGAAATAAAAAAGATCTTGAAAGTAGATAACTATATCTATAATCCATAAAATGGGGTCATTACATAAGAATTGTGGTGTTAATCCAGTTTTTCTTAATTAATTAATGTATGAACTCCCCTTCATCTCTGTATATATTGATACATGCTGCATAAAGATAAATGAAAGTCATAAATAAGATGCATTTATTGATTTTTGTTTAGCGGAGTGACATGTACCATACAGAGGGGAGGAAAAAGGGAATGCGATGAGCAAAGAGTCCGGATGTTTGTCCCCTCTGAAAGTGAAGACTCAGCACACACTCAGCAAATCGATGCTCTGTGCTGCTACACTACATGTTCACTGTGAACACGCAGTGAGTAAAGCTCCTAAAAACTCCAACCATCACTCAGCAAACCCCTCAAGCAATTAATATTCAGTTCATTTTCTCCACAGGGATGATTACACACTGAGCTGAGATAATAAGGCGATAAAACAACGAATAGGTAACGGAATAATAAGGATGTGATGCTCCGGGGTGGTCAGTGTGTCAGCTCCCGGTGTGAACGTCAAAGTGACAGGCCGCGCTGCTGGAGGGACCTAATCACCTCCAATCAAAGCCTCTCTTTATGAGGCCTCTCTCCGCAGGCACTCCGGAGGTCAGCCACCAACATACAAGGACCTCTTCACATGGAGTGCGCCGCAGATGCGAGCCAAACCCACCAGCGAGCGGGCGGTGCTGGCGCCGAGCGGGACCCAGATGAGCAGAGTGGTGGGTCTGACAGCCGGTGGTAATGGAGGGAAGAGTTTGTGATGTTTGTGTGTGTGTGTGTGTGTGTGTGTCTGTGTGTGTGTGGTCTCCGGGGCTCTCTCTTAAGAATGCAGGCAAATACACAAATATTAACTCAGTTGTAAATGCAGTCGAATTCAGTTTAACACAAACACACTCACAGTCACACACAGTTGTGTTGTAATGGTCTAATGCTGCTGACAATGTGGAGCAGATTGTTTTCTGGCATCAATACAATGAGGATCTGCTCTTGGCTTTTTCCATGACGTACTAAGAACCACAACAAATTCATGTCAGTGTTTTTGAGCTGTTGTTACTTTTGTGGTGCCGATGTTGCCATTGTATCCTATAATACCAAAGTCTTGAGGACTGTGTTATAATGTAACGCAGGCTTGGTCTCCATTTATACAATTGGTTTGGAGAAATAACCTGTGCTCATCTTTGGATTTTCATATTTAATGACCAGTATAAAACAATATATATATATATATATTGTTTTATACGACGTCACTGTGACCTTTACCTTTGACTGAAATCTTATTGGTATATTTTTGCGCCCAAAAACCACAGGTCAAAACCTCAAGCTACATTTGAGATATCATGTTCAAGAGGTCAAAAACATGTTTTCCAAGGTCCCCATGACCTCAACCTTTGACCTTTAAGTATTTAATCCATCCATCTTTAAGTAAACATTCCCTAAAGGCATTCTTGAGATGCCCCGTTCACAAGAATGTAACGTACATCACATTATATAGGCAAACTGACAATCCCTAAAAAATAATGCCTCTGGCCACTGGCCGTCGCAGGAAATTAAAATTGTGCAGCTGTTGATTAGAAAACTGTAGCGCGCTCGAAAAAATCTTTTTCAGAACATGCAAAAGGAAACAGATTTCATGAGCTGTTACAAAGATTGACCGGTTGATATAAAACGTTGGAGTGAAAAGAGTTTCTCTGGACTTAATCTCAGTCTGGCGGTAGAAACGCAGCTAATGACTGTTTTTCACATAAACCCAGTGTGTGTCTGAATGTATTTTCTTTCATAAAGCTATTTTACTATGATTTTTCTTTCCCTTGTCCTGTGCTGATGTGAAAGATCCCTTCAAAGCCAAATAGCAATTTAAAAAGGAAACATTGGCCATTCCAGTGTACACAGATACTATTGTAGACCAATTATTGTTATTAGACTATTATTACCATTACAAATATGCCTAAAACTTAAATCTTGTGGCCCCCAGTGGCTACAGAGATGATTACACCCAACAGGGCCATTTCACTTGATGGATGGATGAACAACAAATTGATAATAATGCTCCTCTAACACACTGACAAACACTTGTTTGTAGTGCGGCCTGCTGTTATTAAAATGTGAAGTGTTTATTTACTGTGGAGAATGGATTCCCTCAGTCGATGTAACTGCAACCTGTTTATTAAACTGTGACATTTCAATTTCCGGTTTATCTCATTTACAAGTGGAAGTCTTGGCCCAGAGGAGGTGTCATGTCATATGCCAAGAAACGTCCCACACATTCTCTGCAGAGAAATTCCATTTAAAATATAATTCTGTGTGTCAAAGTGTTGGATGGACAGATGAACAGAAACAACGTGAAGATGAAATTAAGAGTCAAATGCTTCAGGAGGGTCAACTATAATCTACTTTACTATCACCCGAGGCCAGTTCTCACCGTGTACTTCATCTGGAAGTTCTGGACCAGGTTGAGGTCAACAAACATGCGGATGGTACCCAACGTGGTTTCGGTGTCCGACAAGTCGAAGTCGCTGAAGCTGAAGTCCAGAAGACGCAGCGACTGGGCAGACGGGATTGTGGCTACCTTTAAAACACAAACAACACACGTTTATGAGCTTGGGGAAATGCAGAGAGGCGGCAGATACAGTGAAATACGCACACGAATATCAAAGTGTGTCATCTGCGTCAGTTTCCATCTATGGATGCAACTGCCCCTTTCCACAGCGCTCTGGATACGTTAATAGCGAATTGAAAATGCCAAACTGACAGTTGTTTGTATGTGGACTTTATTTTCCACATTTTCTTTTGTATACTTGTAGCTACAGGCTGAGACAGCAGCCGCCTCGTCTCTATCACATGTGTCACCTGCAGGCGATTCATCGAGGAAGACAGAGAGGCCTGATAGTCATTGATAGACGTTGGGTCTCCACTCTCTCACTGTACAAAAATGAAGTATCTTGGTTATGGGAGTTGCCATCTTGCGCTGGTGATGTAATTTGGAGCCAGCTTGCACAGTAGTGGTGATCGTGGTGTGGAGCCTCAGTGTCGAGGTCCAACTCGACCAATCACAAATCAGTCTCAGCTGTGATGACCTTTCACCCCATTTCTATAACGTCAAATAACTAAAACCAAACTTATCGGAAACATGATGAAAATAGGGAACATGGATGAGGCAGGGTTCGTGACCTATATCACAGCCAGCCACCAGGGGGCAATCAAGATATATTGGCCTCACTTTCGGGGAGCTATTCAGACCATTTGTCCAATCAGAGGACGTCTAAGCATGATAAATCACCATCATTCATTTGGATTGATTTTCTATATTCTTTAATTTGACAAAAGCAATGACAAAAGTGACATCTAATCTTTAACTGCCAATTAAAAAGGGTTTTCGGTTCACAATTTATCACGCATACTGTACGTCGCAGTCTCCTGGGCAGAATATACCCCAAAAAAAAATCAAGCCTGTGCCCTAGATACCAAGTGACGCATCCTCCCAGGAGCACCTGAGGGAGGCCACTTAATCAGGTTAGGCTGTTAGTTCAGCCACTTCGCCACAGGAGGAGAACAGAGCACGACCCGCTGATTGGGTCACATGGTGTCTTCTTGAGGAAGCTGGGCTGCTCTGATTTGCTCGTATTTGGAGAGCTGCCTCAGTCAGCAAATCGGTGACATGCAGTACATGCGAACGAGCGAATGAACAAAATCAGTACACAGACTGACAGCAGGCAGCCACTGGAGCCGTTTCTTCAAACAAGAATCTGGGCACTCCCTCAAATATGTAAACTCGTACAAAATAACGCTGCATCTATTGCACTCCTGGAAGAGGGATCCCTCACATGTGGCTCTCTCTGAGATCTCTACGTTTTTTGGTAGTTTTTTCTTACTCTTGTTGAAGGTTAAGAACAGAGGATGTCAAACCTTGTCAAGCCCTATGAGACAAATTGTGACATCTGATTGTAATATGATTATAATGTGATTTAAGGATAATTTTCACTTAGAATTTCATGTACGTCTGGTTATAGAGGTGTTGCGATATATACTGGTATTGACAATAACTGTCAAAAGACAAAAGCTGCATCACACAAACCCAGAATTCTCTGTGAGCAGGTGTGCCGATAATGACTCTATCATAGCTCCTGCACATTATACCCAGGTGCCATCCTTCTCCAACACCAGAGAGAGGTGTGAACATGTCTCATGTGGAGAGCCCCCTGTCGTGTGCTGCATGTGTGAAATGTCCGGATCTTATTCTCTGGGTATTGTCCAGGGTTCATGTGTGAGAAACTGATTAAAAGACATATATATTCTGAAGCTTCTACCTTCAACCCTGAACAATCCTTGTACAAGTAAATACAGCTGAACTCACAGCAGCGCCATTGTCTTATGTGTCAGACGACGTCATGGCTGTAGAATAAAAATGTTATCAGAGCACAGCATCAGCTTGGAAATGGCTCTAAAGTGACTACATAAGTAATACATGTCGTATTAATGGACAAAAGTCATTGGAGAGTCAGTGGTTCGATTCCTGGCTCATTCCTGCTGTCAAACACTGTGTTCAAACTCAGGGGCCGCCTTCTTCTGAGGTTACTACATGACGGTTACTCAAAGAAAATGAGATGGTTACTGCTGGTAACCTTACTCTCCTTACTGCTGTCGCCGAGCAAAAAAGCTGCAGTTCCAAGACAACAAAATTATTATTTTTGAACATGCAATGAATGCTGGGATAGGTTGGGACAGAATACAGGAAATGTCCTGGACTTATACAGAGCTTCTTGATGACCGTTCTTTATAGAACAGACTTTGCCATTCACACTCATTCATACAGTGCATCTATGTGCAGTACTTTCTCTATGGGAGCAGCCAGCCTCATCTGCTGCCCCTGAATTACGACACAGCTTATGTGTGAATGTGGAGTAAAGTGGGACTTTATTAAAGTGCTGAATATTTAAACACAGAGAGGCGCAGAGGCATATACAGATCTGAAACAGACACAATGTAGGCTCCAGCCATATACCAGGTTTGATACCAGGTATATACATGATTACATGCAAAAAGTTTTAAAGTGTGGAGCAGTCAAACCTGTCGAGATGTCTGAACAGCAATTATATAATGAATCATTCAAAGAGCTAAAATAACCATTAACAATTTTTCTGCTCGGCAGCCGCGGCATCACAGGGCTGCCGCCTCTGTGTTATTACCGCACTGTCTCCACAGTCATTCTGCTGCCGTGCCTCTGCCAGCTGCAGCTCCTTTTATAACTACACAGCAAAGTGTTTTTGCCTGAAGAGGCTTTGAAAGCGAAACAAAACAACACCTACGACAGGTGGCCTCTAAACCCAGAGCACAAATCCAGCACTGTCCGGCGTCTCTCTTCAAAACCCTGCGCACATCATCGGTGAAATACGTGATGAGTGTCTTTTCTTATCTGCGACACGAACCGACGCAGTGTCGCTTGATTTTTAAACCACGGCGACAGCAGCAATTTAAAATCGGTTCGTGCACTCTCTTTGACATAATCAACGTGACCTGTGGATGTTTTTAAAAATGTCTGGTTTTCAGAAACACTTTTCTCCCTCAATTGTTATTGTCTGACATTTCTTTTGCTTGCTGCTTTATATTCTGAATATTTGTTCAAATCTGTATTCTGAAAAGCTGTTTTGTTATTTTTTTCCAAAATGTTGCACCACCACTTTTTCACCTCTAATAGAACATTTCTAAAAATTATTACGACAAGGGCGTATTTTAAAAATCCATCATCTCAAACTTTGTGGAATAATAAGTGACTCGACAACAAACATGGATACTTCAGGTCGACCACAGTCCATTGTTATTATACATATTGAAAGTGCATTATGTTCTATACAAGCCAACAATTTTCCGCCAAAAATGTGCTTGTCAAGGTCACAGACGTATAGAGTTGCTATACCGATGCTGTCTTGCTGATTCAGCGGTGTGGTGTTCCGTTACATGACTGCTTCCTCTGACCCGAAGGACAACATCTGCATGTGTCTGTGTTCATGCATGTATCTTTTGTTAAATTAATGGATTTTTATTTACCGCTGTTACCTGCAGTTCACGCGTCTCTTCCTCTGTGGCGGAGGCGTGATACGACAGAACCTGGAACACATATAAAAACACACGAGGTCAGCAAACGTACTGTACACTTCTCTACAGATCAACTTTCCTCATTGCTGTGACCTTCACTTTGTATCAGGGCCACGAGAAAAAGTTGCAATATTACCAGAGTTTAGTCAGAATATTATGAGAATAAAGTCATTTATTCTTAAGTTAGCAGCATTGCACAAAAACGATTTCCACGAAAACCTGGTGGAAGGATGATGTATGGGTCGGGGAAGAACCCATACAATTTTGGTGCGGATCTGGATTCGTTTTTTTTCACTTTCTTTAAAGGATCAGTGTGTAGAATTTACATCTAGTTGCATGTTGCAGCTGAACACCCCTCACCTCACCCTCCCCTTCCAAACATGAAGGAGAACCTGTGACAGCCTAAACTCAAAAGATGTTTAATGAGAGATGTTGATCAAAAGATGCTGTAATTCATACAATTTAGTTGATCACACACAAGTAAAAACATCACTAGGATTATTTTATATTTAATTTCTGCCGATTTCACCCAAATCCTACACATGTTCCTGTTCTGTGTCTCTGTTTTTCCTCTTGTCTCTCCTCCAGCTCCACCCTGATTAACCGATCAGTCATCAATGAGCTGCACCTGGCCAGTGAATTAGAGGTTCTTCAAGAACTCCTGTGTCAGGATCAGAAGAGAAGCTTCCAGTGAGAGGACTGCAGCTTCTGCACGGCCAATGTATGTATTGTTTCATTTGATTTTAATGAATCCTATGGTTCTGCTGCTTTAAAGGCTTTCTGATGTCGATTCATGTCAGTGGTGGTCAGTTATCTTACATGTTGTTCACCCCGTAGAGCCACGTAATCGTCAAACATATCAGTCATCTCCAAAATATGAAGACAACTTTGTTTTCTGTTCACTGTCAACAGCATTTATTTATCTTTACTCAACTGTTTCAGGCTGTGTGAAACGTATTGTCTTCTTAATGGTGGCATAATGCACTTCAAATCTTAACAGAAGTCAAAAATATTCATGTGAAAATTGTCACTTAATATCGAAAGTAACCAACTTCTAAGGAGTTGTGCAGTTTGCATGTTGACTATGTGGGTTTTCTGCAAGTACTCCCTCCCACAGTCCAAAGACGTGCAGGTTCAGTTCATTTAGAAAGTGACTTTGAATGATTGTTCATCTCTGTATGTCAGTGATAGTGTGTCGGCCTGTTCAGGGTTGGATGTCAGCTGGGCGAGAGGTATCACAGCTCTCTAACTATTGCTATGTGGATGCATGGATGGCACAGATGATAGTATCATGTGCACACAAGTTGTTATAGTCCCTGGCAAGATAAGTGTATGTTTTTGTGGGAATTAAGGGGCTGTACTGTTACTTTTATTGTCTACTTTATCATATTTATTAGAACATGGCGACCTGAATTTTCTCCATGTCGCACACTAGTACTAATGATGCATGAATAACAATATAGCATGATTTGTCACTGCCTGTCATTTAAATATACTTTCAAAACTATCCATGTGGAGGCTGCTGTGTTATCAAAGACTCCCCGCAGTGGCAGTGATCTTGGTTTCTTAGCTTTGGTCTAAAAAGCAAATTTGGCCCAGTTTCTTCAAAGCTATATTTGTTGCTATTTCGACATCTTGTGACAAGAATGTATTTTCAATGGTGGGTGTCTCTGATCATTTATGAGCTTCACTTTGGAATCGCGATCAAAGTGATCATTAAAGCTGTTTTTGAAGCACTGAGGCGATGCTCTATACCTTCTACGTTCTAACTGGTTAGCACGGAGCTACTGTTCAACTGTCCAGCTGTGTAGGCGACTTTCCATCATTAAAGTCAGGATGAAAAGAAGAGGTACAGAACAACGCCTCTGACCAGTGCGAGCGAGTTGAACTAGGGAAAGTGGCGGAGGAGGCGGGTGTCAGCTGCAGCCGAGAGGAGAAGTCACCTCCGACACCCTGAAGCTGACAGCTGCGACACAGAGAACACGCACTGGGAACAGCAAGAGTGTACGATGTGTATGCATTTGTCTGACTGAGAGGGAGGGTGCATGCAAAATGAGCACGGGGGTGTTAATAGTGGATGGTGGTCGTGTGTGTGTGTGTGTGTTAGTGTGCTCAGTCATAATGAATTTGTGACTGTCGCACACAGTGAGGCAAGGAAGTGTCAAGAAGCAGCTAAAAAAATCTGTCTGCCTCGCCTCATCACTGTCACTCACACGCCCACAAATAGCTCCATCAGAGATGCTCCCACACACACGCTATATTTTTTTATACTTCTATACTTGTCAGGACCCTCACTACATCACCAAGGCACATCTACACATCTAATCCTGCACTTTGCCTTAATTATAATACAACATTTATAATAACAATGACCATAAAGCCTCTTTTATTTTGAAAAATGTTCTCATTGTTGAGAAATTGAAATTCAACAACAGCATAAACTTGAAATATGTTTTGGTTTCAGTCTCTGTTATGTTAATTTTCAGTTGCATGACTACAACAACCTCAATACAGTATTTAATTACTTGTTATCTTTGACTTACTACCTTTCTGTCTACATTAGACCTCACTCATAAACAGACTGAGGAGACACTGTGCTTATGTAGAAACAATCGAATGGAAAAATATTTGAAACTGCAAAATACAAGATAGGAAATGTGTATTATGTTCGCGTGTGATGCTGACCTCCAGTGTGACCTCCTGCTTTGCCATGGCTCTCTCCACGGTTTCGTACATCTGTGTGTTCTGGATGCCCAGACCACAGAAGATGGCGAAGGCCTCCAGGAACTGCTCGTCGTTCCTGTTGAAGGCCTTCACGCTGCCCGACGCTTCATCCATCTTGTTCGCCAATTGACATACACCTACACGGACACAGAAGAACACGCGTGGGTCCGTCTAGTTGCCAGCCCCGTCTTGGTCCACTATTCATAGGTTTCGTTGGACCGGAGATCCCAATAAAACCAATAGTATGTTAATCTGGAGCCAGGTAGTATTTTTAGCTGTAAGCTGTACATATTTCCAAGAAATACTTGACTTTGCCTGACATGAATGGATGTAAAATGTGCTAGATTTGGGCAAACATCCTCAGCATTATGAATCTGTTTCAGAAAAGCAGAGGCTGAGGGGAAATAAAGGTCGTGATTTCAGTTTACGGGCTCTGTCTGGGGCTGCGCTGAACACAAACACATAGTACACAGCTGGCTAGCCTTCAGCTAAGGTAAAGTTGGGACGTTGCAGCATGTTCTTGAGGCAGAGTTGAAAAAAAAGCAAAGAAACTACAGATACCACATTGTCAGTTCATCTTTGAGTCCAAGTGAATGTTTGTGCCAAATTTAAAAGAAGTTATTTGAAGGTGTTCCCGAGATATCACATTCACAAGGCAAAACATGTTTGAGAGGTCACAGTGAACTTGACCTTTAAACACCAAACTGTCATCAGGTCATCCATGAGTCCAAGTGAACTGGGCCAGATGTATTGACATTTCTATATTAATAATAATCATGAGCCTTAACTGTTGTGAGCTGAAGGTTTGCAGTTTTGTGTAAACGACTGGTTACATAATCCTTCAATTACTTACAATTACCACGTTTTGTTTGGACTCAAACCTGCGCCTAATAAGGACATGGAAGAGAACATTGCCTCTTTAATGCTAATAATGTATTCACAAAGCAAAACATTAGCTAATCCGAACGAATGTGTTGGGGGGCTGAAAGACGAGGGACGTTTCATTGTAATAAATTGAGCTGTTTTGATCTTGCTCAACAACTGGGACTCTTCAGGGCTGGAGGAGAGGCTACAAGGACCTGCTTTGTCTTTGTCATCGTCGTAGCCAACTAATGGAGTTGCTATCAGCTAATTATGCAAGCGATAATTACTGCGATGGATGGAGTGGCAGGACCATTCATGAACAGATAATAAAAGTGGTAATGCTATGCTGGCTCGCAGGATTGTTAATAATTTATGACTGGGATCTGGGATCAGTGATTGACAGGGCTCACCTTCCTCTGTTGGACTGATATACAGCGCATGTTTTTAAGTTTGACTAGAAATTATATTGTCTGTGACAAGTGTAAAAAATAATGTGATCTCATTTCCTGGGTGTTGACCTTATGGCTAACCATAAACTATACGCTAAAAAAGTGTGTTCCTTTAGAACCAGGTGAAAAAAAATAAATGTGCATGTCCCTTTAAAAATTGGTGCAACATCTTGTGTGCTTCTTCCTTTGGAGCTGCATGTGACGTAAGCATGCTTTATATGATGTTGTCAGGGCACATGACCTTTTTTAAGGCGTGTTAGTATGGCTGGATATGATTTTTTAAAAAGAGACTAAAACACTCATCTGGATAGAAATTGTTAAAATACAAAAACACGAGTGAATCTATAGCCTCAGGGCGAGAGATGAAGAGGAAGATTTCTGCGATGAAGGGCCAGAATCACCGATGCAACACCTTTACAGGGTCACTAAAACCTTCCTTTCTCAGCCTCTGAAGCAGAAAGAAACGGGAAATATAAACCGTCTGAGAAATAAAACTTATTATCGTAAACCCCCTACCTTCTCAGAGGTTAAGAAATGAAGGTTACAGTGAATGTGAAGTTTTTCAGATATCCCTCAGCTTTATAAAGAGTGGTTAGGTTTTAGATTGCTTTCAGTCTTCATTGTTTGATTAATGAATGTTAAATTATCTTGAGGACCCAGCTAAGCTACCCTCGTGGACGGATATAAAATATGTGATTGAAGCCCAGGTTTAGCATTTTGAAGGGTGCTTTACCAGAGAGAGAGATAGAAAGATCTCATACCTATGACTTTGTCCTTCTTTGCATTCCTGATGGGAGTGCAGAGCAAACTCTTTATCTGGTTGCTGGTGTGATCTGGGTTTTCACTCTGGCAAAGGACGAGATGAATAAATTACTCCCTGTGGGAAAAGAAGAAACAAGCAAACATGGAAATGAAAGGAAAAAAGGAGAGAGTACTGACTGTCCAGGGGAAGCGTTGGTCCTTGGTGACGTCTGCGATGTTGAGAGGCTGCATTGTGTTTTTGACGTACTGGGCGTACATGTAGTTAATCTGACTGACATCACAGTCCCTGTGGAGAAACACATAAACAAAAACAGCTTCTCTCACTAACCATGAATAATGAAGTGAAAACACCATGTTTACCAAATCCTTCATTCATTCATTTTTAAATGTAAATGAAAAAAGAGAAATTTGTGTACAAAATAAACGTGAATATTTGCCATCTGGTTTATGGGGGATATCTATGGAGGCATATTGGTACCACATAGGAAAAATGGTTCAGAATCCCATTATTTCATTTTTTGTGATAAAATATTTTCATTTTATCTTGAAGCATTTTACATAATATATCTTATAACCTGAAACTCTTCTAACATGAAACTCATGCTTGAATGATGAAATAATACATGATCTGATTTAATTGGTAAGTGTGAAAGTGGTAGTGCCAAGATTGATTTTGACTATTCCTCCATACAACTTTACCCAGCTGCTCTTTGGCTTCAATGTCGGAAACCAAAAACTGCTTTGTCCTTCAGCTCTGGACAAACAGCAATAAATAGAAACAAAGCACCTGCCGGTTGATGAAAGAACTGCTGCATGCGAGCTGTACCCGAGTCCCCCCTGCTCAGGTCTGAAAGCTGCAGCCGTCAGTCAGGTCTGTCAGCGCTTAATAAGCCTGTTTGTTATCTTTAGCTGGTCCAAGTGCAGCCACAGAGCCGGCTATAATACTGCATGATAAACGATGGAAAATGGATATGTAAATATCATATGAGGTTATGGCAAACGCCAATGGGTTTTGGCTGGAGCGCTGCGGTGTGTGCATGCGCGTGTGTGTTCGAGAGAGAGAAGGAGGGAATATGGGTGTGTTCATAGATAACAGAAAGAATGATAGATGTGTTAATGTGGTTGAGTGTCAGGGAGAAGAAAAGAGATGGATTAGCTGTGTTGGAATGTAACTAAATACATTTATTCAAGTATTGTATTGAAGCACAATTCTAATGTTACTTAACTTGAGTATTGTTACTTGATACATGTACTCACTGCATTTACCTGCCAGCTGTAGTTCCATCTGAGGAACTAGTACAATATGATGCAGTGTTTCATTACATTCAGTCATGATACGATGACCAAATACAACATTAAGTAAGAATATTCAACAATAAAATGGTTTATTAATAATAAACTCTGAAATGAGAGTTGCTGCACAACTAGTACAACATTTAATTCACTTTGGCCGATGATACTTCTGTATTTTTACATGTTCAAGGCAGGACTTTTACTAGTAATGCAGTATTCTTAGACCGTGCTACGTCTGCTTTTACTTTCTTTACTCCTATTTACTTTTTCAACATCCACCCAGTGAGCAGGAGTTTCATTTTGGATGACATTAAGGCTTCAGGCTGATTATAAATGTTATGTCCAGACCTGCCTCCATACACACACACACACACACACACACACGTTTCAGATGGAAAGGCTGCATAGTTTGTGCATTTGTGCTCGAGATTAATCACCCAAACACACTAAACTGCACATTTCCTCTCCCGCTCTCTGTGATTGACTTAAATTAGGCCACAGAGCAGCTGCCGCCACCACCACGAGCCATGACAGCTCTACGTTAGCTTTCAATTCACTACAATCAAACTCGGAATCCATAAAAACGTAATTGCCCCACTTTGTTAGGGTTAAAAAAAAAAAAAAAACTGTCTGCCGCTTCTGCGAGCCGGATCAGCTTGACTGAACTTCCTGCTTCGGTGAAACAGACGCTGTGTCGTTGGGAAGCCGCAGCCTGGGGTTAATGTCACTATAAAAAGCCTCCCGCGGTTCCAGCCTGGTCAAAGCTAACATCCTGCTGGGCCCCTCCCCTCTTGTGTTGGCCCAGTTGGAGCTGCCCGGTTTTACTGTATCGCAGCCCTCCCACAGGAGATCCAGCACAAGCACACAGTGGTATTTAAAGATTTATTAGATCTAAACAGGGGAGACGCAGCCATGAGAGAAGGCTGTAAAAAATTAGACACTATAGAGGACGAGACAAGATAAGACATCTGGTCTGTGTCACCCCTGACAGTGCTGGGATTTTCACAACTGCCTATTTTCCCTTTTTCTTTCGCTTGGTCCCTAACACACTTAGCTCTGTGCACACACACACACACATGTAACAGCTTTAATGTGGAGAAAATCCACTCACTGTGTTTCAGTACAGTTTAGACCTTGGAAAACTGTGTCAAGTCAAAGCAGAAACCTCACGAGATCTGACAGCTCCATCTGTTTCACCAATAAAAAGAGGGTCACAAACTGGGCTTTCTATCAGCCGCTATTGACTTTATGTCTCTAAGCTGTATGTCTGCCAGGAGAAAGTATTAGTGAAAACAGAGCCAATAAAAGCTGATAGAAAGCATGTTTTGTGACCTTCTCCACTACAGACAGAGAACGATCAGTTTTTAGCTTTTAAAGGTCTGACAGGCTTTCCTTTTTGACTTTCAAATATTAGTTCCTCACTATCAACAACTTCCATGAATGTGAAAATGTGTCTCTTAGGACTTTTGGGTTTGCCTACCTTGTCTGTGACTCTTTATCAGGCTGAGGTGTTCCTAGTGAAGATGTCCATCTCTAATGGTTCACAAATATACTGTCTCATCTACAACAGTTAGGCATAGTAGCTTTGAACATGTGTTTCTTGAATAGGAGTAGATGGCGGAGTATTTGGAACTGTATGTATTTTCAGCTGGGGATTAATACATAACACGTTTGGTGCACTGGTGGCTGTTTATGGTCAGTGTCTGTGCTGCTAAGTGTCACGAATACGTCATTATAAAATGGCATTATTACAGTATAACACAATGTATGATCATTATATATAAATATTTGATTGATTGATTGATTATTGATAATGTTCAAATCTGTTCAGGTGGACCATAGTAAGAATCAATAGTTTCCATGTAAGGATAGGCTCATACAGGCACAAATACAGTATGTGGCAAACACACAAATAGACTGTCACACTGTCACACACAAACACGTGTACACACACACCAATGATCCAATTCTGTTGCTTGGGTTGAGATTGAATTTAAGAGGCTGCATAGCAACTGGGGAGGCAAGCCCACCCGTCTCTAGGGTGGGGAGGGTGGGGATTTCTATCTAATTGCGTCTTAAATCAAATTACTGCTTATTCACTCCTCCTGGCAGGAGCATTGCTTGATGTCAGGAAGCTATAGCCTCCCCCGATCCTTTTCTCTCATCCAGACCCTCTACTCATCCAGCCTGCAAATCCTCAAATCGCTCAATTTCCTCTGATCTGCCACTTGATCTTCACCTCTCCTCGGTTCTAAATGTCACCTCTCTCCTCTCCGAACAACTATATCATATCAATATCATTGGAACGTCGCTGGAACTTCCTCATTAACTTATCAGTCATCTTCTTTGTCGGACTGGAACCATGGTTTGACTGTTGCCTGCAAGTCAGAGGGGGGTCTTGCTTTTAGAGGACATCTCAGTCATACTAGAGAGTGACAGATGTTTAGCTGAGTGCTGTAATCTGTCTTCAAGGCAGCTGACTGCAAAAGGAAAAGTGCAATGGGGTATTATAGAGGGTGAATAGTACCTCCTGATATAATGTTGAGTGCAAAGATCTTTCTAAGGCTGAGGTGGAGCCGATGGTAAAGCCCATTCGAGGGTCTGGCAAAAAAAAAAAAAAACAGAATATACAGCACAAACACAGACAGGTAATATGACCAGTCTCATTTTCTAGCTAAAACAGACTGGACATCTCAATTCCCTGTAGCAAAAATGTTAGACCACAAGCAACTAATATAGCTGTTACATGCAATAATGTTGCATGTTGACCTCAAAACTACTTTGTCTGCATGACAGACAATTGTTAGACCATCTTGAAAAGGTCCTGGACCCCCTCAAAAATATAAAAAGGCCCAACTTCATCAAGACAAATAGATTGGGATTAAGGAGTAGTTAAATTGACCCAAAATTTAGTTTGTATCAAGCCTAAAGTGTCCAGCTAATGAAAACCAGAGCTCCGAGCTGAAATCCCACGATCAAATGTCTGGGAATTTGGCAGGTGAAGGAGGCGGATTACCTCAAAAAGATCCTGAAGGGCTGCAAATCAGCTCAGCAAACATAAGAGCATTGGACTGAGTTGCTCAGTCTTGTCTTTTTTCTTTCAATTCAAAGTGACTGAATGGGCACAATAAGACTTCCATTGCTGCCACAACATGGCCTTACATCTCTTTTTTTCTGTTTCTCCTTCTATGTGATTATAATGAATCCTTGTGCAAGCATCCATTACACAAACGTCATCTGAGGGGCTCTGGGGGAGAGGAAAAGGGTAGTCTGCATATTCAGGGAAACATTAGCATTAATAACCGGTGGAAATAGTTGAGAGTACGCCTCAAGTTAAATCTACAGGACTTTTAGTTCAATACGGGCTTCAGTTGAGCGGGATCACCTTACCTTTTGGGAGCATCTAGGACTTCACCCAGCTCCTCGTACTCCATGTGAAAGACACTAGAGAAGGAGTTCTGCAAAAAGAATAAAAGTATGTTTATTATGTTTGTCTACGATATTACAGACACAGATTAGGGTGGAACTTGATGGGGCTGCTCACTAATTGTCATTTGGAACATGAATACATCAAGACACAGTGTCCAGACTGCTGTCTAGTTCTTCCATGCTTTACTTTAGGCCCACCCTGTGTGTTTCCTGGTTATATCAACTTCCTCATTCCCTTCAATGAAACAGTTACAACTTAACACAACATTCAAGTATCCTAGGTTGAGCAGTGATACTGTGCACAATACCTAAAATACTGACACTGATCTATTACTTATCAAGCCTTCCCAGAAGGAGAGTTTATTTCGACATTCCAGTGCTCCATTCGCCTTTTCCCCCCTTATAGGGATTTGTTTTCTCTCAACCTGCACTTCCAACCCCTCGCAAAGGATCCTTTTTCCATTTTTAAGAGGTGGGGGACAGGATGTTAAAGATAGACTAGGCTTTTTCGTTTTGGAAAAAATTGCCCCCCTCTACCCTTTGCGTGCACATACACACACTGTCATTCTGTGGCATCAGTTCACCCTAATCTGTCTTGGTGAGGGTAATAAAGATGTTTTAAACAGAAAAAGGACCCGGCAATGTTATGACATTTATTGGGGTCTCTGGCGAAGTGGAAGGTTTATAACAGGATGAAACGGGATAATGGATTTTTTTTTTCCTGTCTGAGGGAATATTGAAATAAATCAAACCTGACTTCTTGAATTCTTTGGACGGATCAGTCAAAGCTTTACTTCCTTTCATTGGGTTTTGATGTCCAGTTATCAGAGTCGATCCCTTCTACTGCCTGCATATGTTATGGTGTGATTTAGGTGTTTAATGGTGAAATGGTAAATGGTCCATGTTTATATAGAGCTTTTCTAGTCTTGATGGCCACTCAAAGTGCTTTACGGTAGGCCTCCATTCACATACATTCATACAGTGCATCTATGTGCAGCACTTTCTCTATTACACCTCATTCATACAGTTCATACACTTAGGCATACGGCACGGGGGAGACGGAGATCAAACCGCCAACCTTCTGGTTACACAGAAGACAACCCGCTCTACCCCTGAAACTGTGCATTGGACAAAGAAAACAAAAGACAAGAAATCTGAAAATGTCCTACTGTATTTTCACATTTTGTAGTAAGCATTTAATATAGTGAATTAGCCTCTATCTCAAAGCAAACTATAACCTCAAAGAGTTGCTAGCATGACCTGGTTCTTTGTATCTTCCCCTAAACCGACCCCATCTTTCAGTTTTCTGAATGTAACCAAACAGATGTGGCGGATTAGGCAAGGAGCTCAGAAGCATCAGATCAGTCATATGGGTGGTTTTGGAAGGGAATGAAAAATTGCCTGTTTTTGTTGTTTAGGCAGGATGACTTGTGGGAAAGCAAGGAAGAAAGGGAGAATTGAAAACTGCAGGTAGTTTAAAATCTGTAGAGATTGGTACAACGTGCACTCACTCAAACACACTCATTTACACACACAGCCTAATATGTTTCAGGAGACCTGAAGCCATGTCCAGATTTATTTCTGCTGGAGAGTTAAACAACAGAGAAGAACAAAACACTCCTAGCGGGGCCAGATGTCAGACCCTATCACATATCATTCACACATAAACACAAAACACACATTACCATGCACACACACCATACAAATGCCAGCACAGTCAAACATAGTGTATCATGCACACATGCAAACGCACAATGTGTTCACACGAGCATTCACAAAAGAATATGCTAATAACATCACATGTAAGTCACACACAAATATACATGGAAGTGTGCTGCACACACCGTACACATGATTGCACAGGCAAAACACACAAATACACACACGCACACCACACCATGTCCAAACAGATGCCACACACTGCAGTAAAATGAAGTGAGCCAGCGCAGGCCAACGTCTTAAAAACTCCTGTGTTATTGTTGGTACAGTCAATGTTAAAGACAAGCAAGGCCATTTCCTACATTTCCTACAGGAAAGCTGCTTTCCGAGAGGAAAGTTTACTTTCAAATCCACAGACCTGCGGGTCTGACTTGAGAAGCTGCAGACATTTAATACTGACACTTGTATACAAAGTGCCATCTTGTAGATAAGACCAGTAAATGTTTAATAAGGAAAGAGAGAGAGAGAAAGAAAGGGAGTGTGGCATAAAAGAATGGGAGACAGCTTGTCTGCAAAGTCATAAGTGGGACACAAATACACTTGTTACGTATGACTTATGTACAAAGTGCGTTGCAGCCTATAACATGCATAGTATACAATATCTTCATTTATAATATAAAGTCAATTAACCCAAATATTTTCTTCCTGCAGTGCAGAAACACTGATCACATTCCTGCCTCTATCATATTGTGATGGAGGGGAATTAAGTTGAATGTCTGTGTTGAGAAATCCTAGAAATCCTTGATCAGCTGTTTTTGAGTAATCTTGCTTAGAATCCAATCAACCGACCAACACACTAACAGGGGTAAAAACATGCCTTCCTCTGCACCAAAAGCTGAGGACATGTGCCTTGCTGGTAAAAGAGTATGCTCACAATTGGGGCAATTGTGCTTTGAGCTGAATCCAAATGTCAACATGATAACACAATCAAAATGGCAATGTCAACATACAGATGTTGAGTAGGTATAATGTTTACCATGTTCGTCACCTTAGTTATTTGCATGCTAATACTAATCATCACTCTCACAAAGTAGAGCTGAGGCTTCTTGTCTCTTAGTTTTAGAGATTATTGTTAATATCTTGTTATATTGTAATATAATCCTGAGATGAACACATCTGTAACAAAGGGATATTTCAAAATAAAACCTCAAATATCAACATCACAGTAGTGCAAGTGAGGGAATCACCGCAGTCAGTGGGATTCATCCGTTGGGAACCACGTTTGTCTGCACCAATTTCATTTCAGTCCTATCGAGGCAATCATCCAATAGCTGTGGAGATATCGCATTTCACTCTGGACCAAGCCAGTGGACCGATCAATTGATAAAAAGGCTAACATTACAATCCCCAGAGCTGCTACCATGGCAAAAATGAAACTTTCTAAAGCTAGATTTTGACATAAGGAGCCTCGATAAGACAAGGCTCCAACATGGGGCTAGTTTTCAGCAATGCATTAGTGGCATATAACACAAAACAAATTTGTCAGTGATCAAATTAAAACATCAGTGGGCCTTTGCAGCGTATGAGGGCTCCAGGGCAGCTGTCTCCTTTACAGTCTGTGGATTGTTTAGACTAATCAGAAAAGAGTTTCATGAAAGGAACATTGCTGATCCAACATTCGTCTCCATTGTAGTTGGGAAGGAGGCTAAAATGTGCACCTCAAAGCATGAACATCTGAAACCAAAGCCATCTGTGTGGGCAATTGAGAATCATCTAAGTTGTTAAAAAGTTGTGTAACTTTTATGAAGGCTGCTTTCATAGCCTGGACAATGTTTACAGCAAGAGCCTCCATCTCAATTGGGCTAACCCACTAATAATAAACATCAGGGAAAGTCAAACCCCACTGTTTTGTAACCTAAAACAAACCACTTCAATGGCATTGCATTCCACCATCCAGTTACCGCAGACCATAATACAAATACTGAACGGTATATTGGCTATGTAGTTAATACTTTGCGAAACCAACATTTACAATAACTCGACTTTCAGCCATCAGCCCAGTGGAATGAATTCCAAAACTGATCTCTCGTTGGGATTGGTGGTGAGGCTGGAAATGCCAAAGCCAAGTCCAATGTAGGCGCAGTGCAGATAAACGTTTTATTTAATCCTGTTTATTGGAAAATTTAACTTGTGCCAGAGAGGAAAAGAAATGCTGCCTGTTTGGATGTCTGCTAAATAAAGGCTTGATAATGTTTATCAAAAAACAGTTTGTCCCTGACCATTAAACCAGTCTAACCAAATAGCTGCACCCACACATCAGCTCCTAAATGTGCAATGAAGTTGTCATTTTATTGCATCAGTGCTGATAATAACATACCAATGACTGCCAGTGTTTACAAAGACTTGACAGTCAGAACACCAGAGCTGTCAGATGCGTCATGTTTTTGTTAAAGGTTAATGGTTGTTGGTAATAAATGTGCTGAAGTGTTTGTGAAAACTATTGTAAAGGATGGCTTGTTGTGATGTTCAAGCATGGGGTGTGTGTGTGTGTGTGTGTGTGTTTGGTTGGATCACTGGTTCTTTGTACATTCACTCTGACTTGTTCATCCTTATAGCTTAAGCTTGAAGCTGGGGTTTGTGATCCTGACCTTTGACTACTGAAATCTAATCACTTCACCTTTGAGTCCTAGGGACTTCCTAAAGGTGAACTAGAGATATTATTTCCAAGAGGCCAGTAACATGTTTTGTGAGGCCACTGTGACCTTGAACTTTGACCTCCAAATGCCAATCAGGTCATCCTTGAATTGTAGAAAATGTTTTTACCAGATGTAATGAAATTCCCTAAGGATGTTTCTGATATATTCATAAGAACATGATTAATGTGTCACTGTGACCTTGACCCTTGGCCACAAATTTGAATCAGTTCATCTTTGAGTCCAAGTGAACATTTGTAGCAAATTTGAAGAAATTCCCTTGAGGTATCCCTGAAATATAATGTTCACAAGGCCAGAAATTCGTTTTGTAAGGTCACAACAACCTTAAATATTGACAACCAATATCTGATCAGTTCATCCTTAAATCCACAGATTATTGAAGAAATTCCCTCACAGCGTTCTCCAGACAACCCAAAAGCTGTCGCCAGCACAGAGGCACAATTGCCAGCATATTTGATTTAAAGTCATTATATTTAATCAATGACTTTCATGTTTCAGTTGCTTCCATTCAAATCTCACCAAATAAAACCTCTAGGTCATGCAGCTGTTTGAGTAAAACACTCATCAATCATTAGACTTCTCCTTTACCATGCAAGTATATTTTGTTTTGATAATTTCATTAAATCAGCACCTTATTATACCATCTGTAAAATGTT